ATGGCCCTTCAGAAATCATTCTAATATACTGATTTGGTGCTCAAGAAACAATTCTTATCAATGCTGAAAAAAGGCTTAGAATTTATAACAGTACAATATTTATAACAACAATATATTTGTGGAAATATTATAAAAAATTGTAGCATTGTTTGATGAATGGAAAGTAAAAACAATGAATTTTTTTTGTAACATCATGTCTTTACTGTCACTTTTGATCAGTTTAATGCAAACTGATTAAACTGAACAAAAGTATGAATTAAAAAAATAAATCTTACTGACTCCCAAGTAGGGCTGCAACAACTAATCGATCAAATCGATTATTATCGATAATGAAAATAATCAACAATAATTCTTATTATCGATTAGTCGTGTCTGCCCACAGTGCACGTCCAACTTCAGCCAGTCGCTTCAAATTATAGTACTGAATTACGCATTTCTATACGGACAAAATGCACCTAAAAATAGTAGAGGAAATAGAATGAGATGCTGCGGGAGATATACATGATCCAAGCTGCCCAAAACATGAGAATTATTTATTTTAAGCTTTAAACTAATGTATTAGCAAAATGGCTTTACCTGTCAGGCGCTTTGACAGATGCGTGTGCGTCCTCAGTGCAAAAACTTTCAGTTTACGGTCATATCCTTATCTCTAAATGTCTCAAATTCAGACGAGCATTTCCATTTTTGCATAAAGGTTCGTCCTGACAGTCGGTGTTAAGTTTAAATCTTTACTGAATGAGCGCTGGCGGCGGAGCGCACGAAACACAGTAGAGAGGGAGACAATTAATACTCTGCAAAAACTGCAAAAACATTCATTGTTCTGAAATATCTGTTGTTGAACGTTAAATTTAGGTTTAAAAGTCAACATGTAGTGAGAGTAGGAACTGCAAAAGGATAACAGCGTGTAATTGTCTGAATATAAATATCAGACACTTCATAGCCGCCTTATACAGGATAAAGAAATTAGTGGTCGACCGATATTGGTTTTTTGACAGCCGATGCCGATATCTTGGAAAGCAGGGTGGCCAATGGCCGATATAAAGCTGATATAATTTTATTTATTTTAATTAATATTTAAGAAATTTTAAATCATTTGAAAATTGATTAAAAAATGTATGTGTTAAATAAACATACTTATACTTTAGATGACAAAGTATTTTTCACAAATAAATAAATATTTAATAAAAATATAATTAAAAAGGAAGTAAACACTGTAACCAACAGGGCACTCAGTATTCTGGGAAGTTTGTGGGCATTAATCATATTTTTTTCAAATAAAGCCAAGGTAACACTCATTTTACATACAGCACACAGTGAAAATGACATGAATATGACAGTGGGAAAATGCATAAAGCGCAGCATAATTTAAAATCACGAGTTTAAAGTTTGTCGATCGCG